AACCAAATTTTTATTAAAAACTCCAGCCAAACATACAGGGAGAGAACAGTGGCAAAACTGGAAAAGCAGAGCAGAACCGTCCAAACCTTGATATAAAGAGGGCAATGTTTGGTGTAATAGAATCAAAAGCAGTCATCATTCTTGTCAATCAGTTGGACCCACATTCATGTTTTTTTTTTTTTTAAATATCTAAAGTAGTTGAATGATCGATGGCCTAAAACAGCTCATTTTGGATCGGATGGATAAAAATCAAATATATAATAATAGTAATAATAATAAAAAAAAACACCAAAAGACCGTTGAGGATAAGAACAAACGTACGTACCAAGCAGAGCCTGTCTCAACATCCTTATGTTCTCTCCACACCAATCATCCAAAACCCTAATTCCCATTCCCCACTCCAACAATATTATAATTAAAATCCCTAATCCATACTTAACATATTAACAAAAGGAGTTTTTCTGCCGCAAATTGTGGATCTAGAATATTTTATTAATATATAAATTTTATATATTATATTTATATAATATTTTAATTAAATTTATTATACTTCTTTAGATAAAATAAATAAATAAATTTTAATTATTAAAAGTTTTAAAATAAATATTTAAAATTTTATATAAATATAATATATAAAATTTATATGTAAATAAATCTTTATTTTAATATATTAATTATAATTTTTTTAATAATTATTATAAAATAAATAAAAATTAACTTTAATTTTATTAATAATGATTTAATTAGTATCACATACATATTATATATAGAAAATAAAATTAATTTTTTTATTTTTTATATAAATTTTTAAATATATATATAATTGATACAGCATTTCTATGTGCTTGACAAACAATAACAACAAAGAAAAAAAAAATTAAATAAAAAAAAATAAAGACAACTCATCTTTGCTTTATTATTATTATTTTTTTGGTACATTCATCTTTGCTTTATTAGGCCAACTAATGATACACTAGCCCTTCTCCCCTAACCTTCTTTCCCTTTATAAAATCATAAGCCTTTCTTTCATCTTCTTCAGTTTCAGTTCAGCACTCTTTGGTAGCTTTTTGAGTGAGGTAAAGAAAAGAAGGTTGCTTTGCTTTGTTGAGTGAAGATGGAGGGGAAAGAGGAGGATGTTAAGCTTGGAGCAAACAAGTATCCAGAGAGGCAGCCCATTGGGACATCAGCACAAGGTGACAAGGACTACAAGGAGCCACCCCCAGCTCCATTGTTTGAGCCTGGTGAGCTCAAGTCATGGTCTTTTTACAGAGCTGGGATTGCAGAGTTTGTGGCTACTTTCTTGTTCCTCTACATCACCATCTTGACTGTCATGGGTGTCTCCAACTCTACAAACAAGTGCTCAACTGTGGGTATCCAAGGAATTGCTTGGGCCTTTGGGGGTATGATTTTTGCCCTTGTCTACTGCACTGCTGGTATCTCAGGTTAGCTTCCTTTTCCTTTTCTACTAATTTCTGGGTTTAATTTTCCTTAGATTTGTTAATAGTCCTTGTTTGAAATTTTTTTGCATGCTTTTTAAATACCCTCCGTCTCTGATGTGCTACTTTTTTGGCTCTTTGTTGTCTTAAAACATAAAATTTTATTGTGAGATATTATCCTAGGCTTTGCTTAATGACTAGATCTGCATGTTTTCTTGCAACATCAGGTGGACATATCAACCCAGCAGTGACCTTTGGGTTGTTACTGGCAAGGAAGCTGTCCCTTACGAGGGCAATCTTCTACATGGTGATGCAGTGCCTTGGTGCCATCTGCGGTGCTGGTGTAGTGAAGGGATTCGAGGGTGACGGCAAGTACGAGCTGTTGGGAGGTGGAGCAAACTTTGTTGCTCATGGCTACACCAAGGGTGATGGTCTTGGTGCTGAGATTGTTGGCACCTTTGTTCTTGTTTACACTGTTTTCTCTGCCACCGATGCCAAGCGAAATGCCAGAGACTCTCATGTCCCTGTATGTATTCTTTCCACCTGTTTATATACATCTATTCTGTGCCTTAATCTGGGATATATTCAGTCTTTTATTTTGTGATTTATTTATCTTTTTACATTTTATTGTTTATTTTTGGAATCTTGTTGTATGCCAATTTCCTTCATTTATGTATTTACTGTGTGCACAGGAGAAATCTTTTTTGTGTAGATTATAGTGTAGAGTGAGGGGGCACGAGTTGCAGGGTTGTTAGAGCATCTCTTGGGGGTCTCTTCTCCATTGGAGACCTCTTTGTAAGAGAGTGGTCTTTTATAAGAGACATCTCCAATTTGGAAAGAGATCCCTATTGGTAACGCTCAGGATGTTATGGTACGTGGTGGACTAAAACTAAATGATAGGCTTTCTTTATCAATTATCAGATATTAGAAGACCTATCAAGGTAGATTCAAGCTGTATACTTGAAAAGTTAGATGGGATTTATTAGACAATGTGTCTTGAGTCCTTTTTCATACTGACGTGGCAAGAATTTGGAAATAGAAGTGTTTTATCTTGCTTTTAAGTTTATATAGCGTTAAATTCTGGCCACATCATTTTGAAAAAGGATTGGGACTCATTGTCTAATATCTTCCACTATTTTGCAAGTGTAAGAAAGTTTAACAATTATATGGCTTGAATCTCCCCTGGCTTAATGATTTCTATTTTTCATCGAGTTATTATAGTGATTTAACGAGAAGGGGTTAAGTTTGAATGAGAGATTTGATAAGCCAAATTGAGTTTTGGTGTACTTGGTCTGCCGTGTTATATTGGTTGGTGCCATTTAAAGGCAATATTTGGCTGGGACATGAACTCTTCAGCCAAAAACATCCCAGCCAACACTAGTGCTGAAATAGGGAAATCCTTCATGCCAGGCCTAAGAAAGCCTTGCGTGCATCACTCTGTCTACATGGTGCATTAACAGGTTTTTGGCCTCTGATTTCATACATGCAAACATATTGGATTTGTGTGCATTTCTATGGATGAAATGAAATCATGTCTAAAGGCTTGTATGCATACCATGTGTGCTTGGTGAATGCAAAAGTTATTGTTCTGATATAGTCAAGTTTGTTGATCCCATCTTAGAAAGTACTTAGTTAAATTTTTTGTAAAATCATTCCTTCCAAATGGCTAATTATGAACATCTCATTGAGCTGGCCCAATCCTAGGCAAAGATAGTTTTTTAATGGAGAGAGTATACCAATGTTAGTATACCACAGTATTTGAACCTTCGCTCAATGGTGCTGTGTTGCAGATTTTGGCTCCTCTTCCCATTGGGTTTGCAGTGTTTTTGGTTCATTTGGCCACCATTCCTATCACTGGAACTGGCATTAACCCAGCAAGGAGTCTTGGTGCTGCCATCATCTTCGACAAGGACCGCGCATGGGATGACCATGTAAGTAATTTCTATTGGAACACCCTTCTTATTCTCTCCTGTTTGTGATTAGCATCTGAGAGATTCATTGGAATTTCTTCTTTGTTGCAGTGGATCTTCTGGGTGGGTCCCTTCATTGGAGCTGCCCTTGCTGCCATTTACCACCAGATAATCATAAGGGCTATTCCTTTCAAGGCCAGGACTTAAATTATTGCATAGTTTCTCTTCGCTGTGTCTGTTTTGTTGTCTCTTTTCCTATATCCCTTGATGATGCACTGTGTTATGGTATTGTTGTGTGTAAATTATCTGGAGTTATGCTGTAAAAAGTTTGTGACAGCCTGAGCTATCTAATGAAGGATTCTTTTATCATTTGTGCTACATTTGATTTTACTTCATGTAAGTGAAGCTCCTTGTGTGCAAATCAATATTCCTTGACAAAAAGAGGAATTTGAAATTCCTGCATTCACATTTTCTTCTTATTAAGTCCGCACGTTGAAATCCTTGATCCAAACTCAACCTTTGTTTTGTGGTTTTTTTTTTTTTTTCTTTGGAATGATGAAAATAGATAAAGAATGATACAATTATATCCCTTACCAATAATCATTACAAGAACATGTTCCATTAATGAAGTGGTGGAAACGATTAGCATCTCTCACTACAATTTCCCTCCTGACAATCTTTGATATGTATTTGGTCACCGCATGGCAGTCTAAACATACTCTCAGGTTTTTAGTGATCCTGATGGGGCTTCCTGATGGTGTGCTTAATAAACCAAAAGCAATAGCTAATCTCTCGCTGTGCCTCCATAAGAGTTTCATCTTCACTGGCTCATCCGCATCCCGGAGGATGCAACTTGTATCAGCCACATAACCTAAAGCTTCCACTTCTAGTCTCAGATTCTCCAAAACTTTATTAATCTCTGCTCTGTTTGGATGTGAATCATCTCCAGCAAAAAATGTGTGGACTTGATTTCCAACCTCAATCAAAGTGTACCCAGGTATTTTTCTAAGTCCTTGTTTTCTCATGAGTCCTCGGATGTAATCCACAGCATCCCATCTCCTTGCTTGAGCATATATGTTTGATAACATAATATAAATTCCTGGATTCATTGCATCCAATCTGAGTAATCTATCTGCAGTCCTTATGCCCATGTCAATATTCTTGTGAGTTCTACATCCACTCAGCAATGCTTCAAATACTGCAGTGCTGGGTTCAAAAGGCATTTGTTTGATCAATGCCTCAGCTTCTTCAAGCAGTCCTGCTCGGCTAAGGAGATCCACATAGCAAGCATAATGCTTTTCAGTAGGCCTAACCTTATGATCGCTTTCCATGCTATGAAACAATCTTCTTCCCTCTTCCACTAGCCCTGAGTGACTACAAGCAGACAGAAGGGAAATGAATGTAGTTTGATTTGGTTTGAGGCCCTCTTTTATCATTCTACTATAAACAACAAGAGCTTGATGCCCTTGGCCATGCATGCCATAGCCTGTAATCATAGAATTCCATAATATAACATCTTTAGAGAAGGTACCACCACTGAATACTCTCTCAGCATGGTTTATCTTCCCACACTTGGCATACATATCAATCAAGGCTGTCCTGTTAACAACTTCAAAAGTAGATCCATGTAGAAATAACTGAGCGTGGACACTCCTTCCCTTCTTCAGAGAGCCCAAATGAGCACAAGAATGGACTAAACTAACCAAAGTTACAGAATTAGCTGCAATTCCCTCTGATCGCATTTGGCTAAATAATTTGAGGGCTTCTTCTGCGTGCCCATTCTGTGCTAAACCTCCAAGCATAGCAGTCCAGGTAATCACATTTCTATCCTTCATTCTGTCAAATACAAAAGTTGCCTCTTTTAAGGCACCACATTTAGAGTACAGATCCACTACTGCAGTAGACAAAATGACATTTCCTTCAAGGCCCCGCCGGAGAATACAGCCATGGAGGATCTTTCCACTTTCCAAATCCGCAATTTGAGCACAACCATGAAGGAGGCTAACAACAGTCATCGAATCAAAACTGCCAACATTAGTTACTAATTCATGAAAAAGGTTAAAAGCTTCATGCACATAACCATTTTGAACACAGCATGAGATCATAGCATTCCATGAAATTATGTTTTTCATTGGCATACTACCAAAAACTAGACAGGCACTTTTGTAGTCACCTATCTTACTATACATATCAACCAAAGACGTAAGTACCGAAATATCTCCGCCCATTCCCGACCCAAGAACATACCCATGAATACATCTTCCAAGATCTAAATCCCTTATCCCTCCACATGCTTGAGTCAGAATCACCACAGTGACAGGACTTGGCCTAATCCCACAACCAAGCATGTCAAGAAAAAAATTAAAAGCCTCATCATATTGACATACCTTCACATAACCGCCAATCATCGAATTCCAACAAACAACATCTCTTTCAGTCATGCCACTAAAAACCTGTCGCGCTCCTTCAACATCACCTAAGTTGGTTAAGAATTTAATCATTGAAGTTCCCACAAATCTATCTTTTTCAATCCCCCCATACAAAGCTCTCCTAATCACTTCCATACCTGTGTCATAATCTCCTAATCTCGTGCATGCCTTTAGCACAAACGTACAAGTATGACTATCAAACCTCAAATCAGAAAAACTCATTAATTTAAATAACTGAACAGCCTCCTCATAGCACTCATTGTGCAAGTACCCATTAAGCAAGGCATTGCAAAGAATAGTTTTTGGTTGAGGAATTTGATCGAACACATCTCGGGCAGAATCTAAACAACCCAAATCGCTGTATACCTTAACAAGCTTTGCAGCCAAGAATTGGTACTTTGATTGGGAGTTAACGACAATTTGGGCATGGATAGACCTGACCCAACTAACGTTTTCTGAGAATTCTTCCAAGAATGATATAAACTTGTCGATAATGGGTAATGTTTGGTGAGTCTGGACATTGCTGATTTTAGTGAAGGAAGATACAGAGAGAAGCTTGAAGGGTAATTTATGTATAAAACTATGGCCATGGAAGTGCAGAGAAGGCATAAAGAAG